CCATTAGATTTGCATTGAGCGATCAGCTGATTTACTAATAATATTGGTTTGTACTTTATTATGAAATGGGCCCCAGCTCAATAGTTTGCGTATTATTCATTTAAATTTAAATTTATGAACATGATATTATTTATATTGAAAATAAAACATATAGAATTGAGAACCAGAACAATATTTAAATTGAAAATCTATTTTTGTACATTTAAAGTGAATTCAACATTTTCATAGCCCAGTAACCAAGCTTTTCGTATTCTCAAAATGTGTACACAAAAACCATTAGCTGCCTCCAAAATCAGCTGTTACAACCCATCGATGTATATAAAACTAACTGGATCGGCTGCTAGGCTCCGCGACCCGAGCCAACGACTGGGGTTGCGTTTTAGATTTTGCAGGCGTCATGTGGGATTAAGCGTCTCGCTGCGTCACATCTTAGCATTGTCGCGGCCAGGACGGTGCACTTTATCCAGCCCTTTACTCTCAACTAAAACGTTGTAAGGCATTTTAATAATCAATTTTCATGAACTTGTGTACAAGTAATAAAAGTGTAAAAATAACGCTGTGAGTAACCGAGTTTGGGTACCACAATTAATAAATATTAACTAACAGCGGATATTTCACACTGAGGTTTCTGATCATCAAATATAATTTAAATTCTGATTTTAATTTTTTTTTTAATGATGGAATAAAAGTAATAAAATAGTACAATAATTAAGAAATTTTTATGACTTGGTTCTTTCTGCACTTACTACTCTAACGAAACTAATCATGTTTCAATGTTACAATACAAAATAGTTTATGTTAAAATGGGGTTTATCAGTTTCTCGTAAAATACAAAATATTCGGGGGTAAGGTATTAGTAAGAACAAGGTTAGATTGTTTAAGAAACATTTTATTTAGGAAACTTTGTAAAGCAAAGAAACATATTTAGCCTAAACATTGCTAAAAAGAATAAGCTTATTTAACTTCTGCCGCATACCAAGCATTGACAGAGAAGCTTCTGCTGTTTTACGCTTAGAAATGCTGTGGCATATAATTTTGTTAAACATAATACCTACCAATTAATTTCATTAATTTCGTGTCATGGCTTTCCTCGCCAAATTCATTATTACCTTTATGATTAAGAAAAGCGTTACCAGCAAAGGTTCTACATGCTAATGAAATAGTTTTTGAGGCATCAAACTTTTGCCAATCCTTGGAATATGCAACAATTTGATTGTACATGAACTTAACAATTTTCAGTACATCTGGCGAAGCCCTGATTAATTTTCCTTTTGATAGAAAATCAGTAAAATTAGTGCAAGGGATTGGATTTGAATCGCCAGTTACTAAAAGATTACTGCATTCTTCACATTTCACTTTAGAATCCAACTTTCGAATAACATAACCACAAATATAATATCGTACATTGTCTTTATAGTAAGACGACTTTTCTATGCCTTCTAACATGTATGACATACATTCTTTATCACCAGCATCATCGGATTCATCACTATGTCCAACTACTTGGGATAATTCGTTGAAGCTCATTACAGAACTTTGTTGATTGAAGTCAAATGATAAGCAATTGCCTTTATCAGATGGCTGGACACTATTGCGAAACATAAGTTTTCTCAAAGCCCACTGGAACTGTTTCACATTTGGATTATTGTTATTTCCTCCTCGAGATCTTATACAGGAAAATAACAATTCCAGGTGGTCTTGAGAAAAGTTGTACGTTAATATGTACTTAAATTCATGCTCCTCTAATAAACTTTTTATCAAAATATTTATCGTGTGGATGTTGGTGATGAAGCCGAGAGGAAACGGTTTCCTGGTATGATTGAGAATAGGAACTTTTTCAATTTTCAAACAGGTAAAATAGTTCACACATTTCTGTAGCATACCATTTATATAATCTAAATTGTCCTTCCGTATCGGTGCTTTGACATTTTTCCCAAATGGATCCCTGATCCCTGCTGTTCAAAAAATCAAACAATTGATCAATAATCCTCAAAAACTCAATTGTTGCCTCACAACCTATGAAATCAGGATGGTCATTCTTTAGTAAAAACTCTAGCGCGTCGGTAACGCTTGAACTTAAAGTCTGTGCAGCAAGTTTGACATTCATTTTCCTATTTCTGAAAAATATAATGCAATGAAAACAGCTATCATAAATACGAATTTACGGTTAAATATTGATAGTCATAGCCGTTACAGTATTCAAATTTTACCAAAGAAGTAGACATTTTGAAGACGTAGAGGGAGGTTATTGTAACACGCACATGCGCCCAAGGTCAGGTGTCGACAACACGGTTTCGCGCGCTATATCCCACATGCTGCCTTCAATTTGCCCATGCGGCAACCCCTATACACACCTGTATTGGCTCGGAAAGCTCTACACGAGCCTTACGGCCTGCGCGCAATCCAGTTAGTTTTATATGTCGATGTTACAACCCTACTTGAAATGTTGCCCCTTCAAAGGCCACAGCCTGGAGTTAAAGGGTGGTCCGTGGACCGTGGTCTTGGTCTTGCACGGGTTGTAAACTTCAAGGCTCATTTGCTCAAGATATTAAATATAAATAAACAATAACAATAAGCAATACAATAGTTAACAACAGTAATAGCAATAAATAATAATAATAAGGTAATAAGTTGGTAATACATTTTTTTCCTTTTAGTTGAAAAAAATTCAAATGGTTTTTGGTCCTATACAGGTAGGTTAGTCAATATACAAAATTCACCTCCTCAGCGTTGTAGGTGAACCCTCTTTGAGAATCTGGGGAAGCAGGTTGAAGAGCCTCGCTCCAGCATACGAAGGTTTCTTCGATAAGAATTATGTTCTGTGGGAGGGCAGATGGAAATCCTCGTTGCGCCTCGTGTTATATCTGTGGAAGGCAGCATGCTTCGGTGAAGAGACCTTATTTAGGCCCCGGGTACGATACGAGCGGCGAGCGGCATGAGCGGCGCCGCTCTGACATATCGGGTCTCATTTAGTTGCGTGTAAACTTGTTGAGGGTGGCCAAGATACGTCTGAGCGGCGAGCAGCGATAAGCGGTACCGCTCAGCGCCGCTCATGGTTCCAAGTCAAAACCGATTTTCGCGAAAACGCCGTTCGCTGCTCAAGGGGTTCATGCTTCAGTTCGGCCTAAAATGACAGGGAAACAGCAGCAAACATACAATACGGGTCGATACGTGAGGTGCAGTCCAGGGAATGTTTGTGGAATGACCAGCACGGAAGGTTTAAAACACTTTAGTTACCAGAAAAGTATGGGACCTGAAGGTTTTTCTAAAAAACGAACTTTTTCTTTAAAGGCAAACAAATTGTCAGATAGCAACAATAGTTGCAATACGTATTGCAGGTATAATCATAGTTTACTATTTTCAACTAAACTGACTCATAAAACTGGGGAAATTTTATGAATGTTATAAATGTGCCGCTTGTATCGTGTAGCCAACACCGCAGCTTACGTGCCGCTCAGGTTGCCGCTCGCCGCTTGCCACTCGTATCGTACCCGAGGTCTTATTGTGTAAGAATTTGCCTCCAAGATGTAGATCGAGAGTGAGATAATTATTATGCGTAAGCTACGGAAGGTTTTTCTGCAGCTTTTTCTTGGTTGAAGACCGACCATTATCCGCATTGCTTCCTTCTGGAGCACCCGGCACCAAAACTCGTTGCAGGTTTTCTTGTGATGACCCACCGCAAAAGATGATCCCGTACCTGAGGTGGAATTCAAACAAAGCGTGGTAGTATGTTCGTGTTGATACATGATTTCACGAGATAAATCGTTTGATAATGATACATATTTCTTAAAATTGAGTAGGTATTTTTGATAGTTCTTAATTAGGCTCAACTGCTCTTGAGCTTTTAATAAATTTGTCCTGACTAAATAACTACTGGAGATCTCAGTTAGTAAAAAACAAAGCTAGCAACACAGATCATTGTATTACTCCATTCTATCCACTGCCCCCTTTAACTACAGGCCGCGGCCTTCGAAGTGGTAACGTCGCAAGTAGGGTTGCATTGTAACAGCTGTTTTGTTTGGAAGCAGCTAATGGTATTTGTGTATTTACGAAAGCTTGGTTACTGGACTATGACAATATTGACTCCGCTTTAAATTTACAGATATATATTTTCAATTCATATTGTTTGGTTTTCAATTCTGTATGTTTTATTTTCAATATTTTAATACATTTATGTTCATGAATTTAAAATTACCTCAATAAAGTGCAGACTCTGACACTAAACAATCCTACTTGCAACGTTGCCTCATTAACAAAATAAAAATGTAAAACACATATATTTTACCTTAAACATCTATACCAATAATAGTATTTAATAGTATTTTAAATTCCAATCAAAAACTTGAGATTTTAAGAATTTATTTAGTATTACAGTACCATAGATAAAACATACTCCCATAAGTATTACCATACACTAACCTATGTTTGGCCTTCGAAGTAACAACGTTGCAAGTAGAGTTGTAACACGGCCACCTTTAACTCCAGGCCGCGGCCTTCGAATTGGCAACGTTGCTAGTGGTGTTGTAACAGCTGTTTAGTTTGGCAACAGCTAATGGTATTTGTGTATTTACGAAAGCTTGGTTGTTGGACTATGACAATATTGACTCCCCCTTAAAAGTACAAAATTGCTTTTTAATTTAAACAATGTTTTTGTTTTCAATTCTATATGTTTTATTTTCGATCTTTCAATAAATTTTAATTTTAAATTAATAATACGCGAAATAATGAGCTGGTGTCACCTGTCCGCCATGCTATCTAATGGGATGTCTGGCGCTAGACAACACCACTTGCAACGTTGCCAATTCTACCAGGCCGCGGCAAAGGTGGCCGTGAAAAGGCGGCTGTGGGTATTACATTACTGTGCTAATATTGTATAACAGTTCACGACATTTGTATTCTGTTAAAGTACTCTATGCAGTGTATTTCGTCTACAGCTTTCCCTTCAGCTGACTGACTGTGACTTGACTTGACTAGCTAGCTAGCTGAGCCCAAAAAGTTATTGATATTGAACATTGGAAGGAATTAAAAGTTAAAATTAAAAACACTTTAGAGGCTATGTATGTTTGTTTTTTTAGAAATTTTAAAATTATCTGTTTATAATATCCTATTATCCTATGTAATAACTTCAAAACTATCCTCTTAAGTTGGATTTAAAAACATTTAAAAATGTGTTTCTAGTAAATGAAATATAATCTGCTCTTGAGTGACTGCTTTATCTTACTTAATACATTTTTTCAGCATAGGCCTAACAATGATGATAACTCAACTGGTAACTACATTTTCTTACATTTACAGTATTTTAAATGCTTTGGACAGTCATTTACAATTTAGATTATCAAGTTAATTAAGAAAAATAAATTAGGCTAAGTTATTAAAGAAGTCTACCATTACATTTGAGGGCTATGTGGACCTACCCTTGTTGGAAAAAATTCTGTTGTTTCTTGAAAAGCTCTAAAGCCTAAAGCTCTGCAAAGTTGCAGGGACAAGGAAAAAGCAGAGTCCTTGGACTGTGGACCTAAGTTGTTGGCCCTCCGAATTAAGCAAATTGGTACAGTTTCTTAACTGGGCTACGCTAATATCGATTTAAACTATCGATTCGATTAGTAGGCCTAAACCTTCGTTCAATTTTTTTCATCATCAGTAAGTTTAATTAGTTAGTTTATGTTATGACAGTTTCATTTTATAATTAATATAGATAGCCTATAGCTTTAACTATCGATTATTAATCGGTAGTTTCAATCAATATTAGGGCTGCACTTAAATATCTGTCCTACACTCATTCGAATGAATATGTCGATTATTTCGTTTGATATAACTTATCAAATTTAGTTAGTTAGGTTAACTTTACATAACTATGCGAATGAAATAATCGATATATCAAATAATCTATAAGTTATATCAATATTATTCATTAAAATGAGTGTAGGACAGATACTAAAGTGCAGCCAATATTAGCTTAGCCCAGTTAAGAAACTGTACCCCTCGTAGACAAATGACTGTCACTATCTATGTTTGCCTACTGTACCTACTGTAAAAATGCAAAATTGAAAAAATTGAAAAGATGCAGAACTTTTATATTATGTAACTTAAGAGTTCACCAGTTTAATCAAAATTAACTTAGTTTTTCTATACAGTATTAGCGTATTAGGTAAGTTAATCAATATTATTAACGTCAACAATTGTAATGTTTACCGATTGGATTTGACTCCTGTCCCACTGTAACCCTCAGCTTAAGATGGGTACCTACTCAAATCAATCGGGTCTTGGCATTAAGTTATTAAGTTATAGGCCCTGCAGTGACCAGGATTGAACAGTCGGTCGTCAGTTTTTGAGCCGTGCACCTGCTCTAAATGTTTTTGTGTACCTATCCGTCCTGTTTTTATATGGTTACCTAATAGTTATTTACCCCCTGGCCCTGACGCAATGCAAATGAAGACTTTTCAAGTGTAAACAAGACCATAGTTTAGTGTACCACTACGCACCTGAAGATGGAGTCATCCCGCAAAGCTGCCGTAAGTTAAGTATAACGGCCTAGTGCATTATAACCCCTGATTGCGTAGACGGTTTCAAGAACAAAATATATTGTTATATTTTCACGCAATCTGCCACACTCAAGAATATTATAGGCCCTATAGCAAATAGTCATCGGTGGTGGCTGGTGAGAATCAAACTCTGGCCTACTGAACAGAAGTTGTACACTTAAACCCCATTATACAAGGCAATGACAAGCACAACGCAGGCAGCGTGAGGTTAAAATAAAACATGGAAGATTTTCTGGTTTTTTCTAGGCTTTACGGAGTATTTGCCAAGCCTGCCGCACTTCACAGGTATTCAGAAACCAAACAAAAGTGTTCCAGAGAAGTTATAGCTTTATAGATCAATTCGACCCACCTTACCTAGAGGATCTTAAACCTGAAATTCCTGAATATGAAATTGTAAATGTTCAAATGAAGGGCTATGATTTTGCTGTTTTGGAAAACTACCAAAGTTTGGTTCACAGAATAGCAAAATCTCTGGATATTGAAGTTGAAGAAGGGTGAGTTTTCTATTACTTTTTGCCTCTTAGCTGGCCCATAACAAAATAATGCTTGGTCATATATGGCATTTAATCAAATGAAACAATCCATTTGGGCTTTTCCATTTGAAATAATCTAACTTAAATAAAAATATAAAATGTCACCCATGACCTCAGATTTGGCTGAAAATGTTTTTATTTGTTAAACCATCTTAATTGAGCTATGTTTAATACTGTACCAAATTAAACAAGTTATCTTTAATAATTTTAAAGTTTCAAATTAATAATAGCCCCTTGTAATTATAATCAATGATTAGTTAGAATGTTAAAATCAAATGTATTTGTTATAATCCTCTATGGAGTATTATTTAATCAGTGTCCAGTTTAAAATAAGAAGAGAGAATTCATTAGTTGACATCAACAGACCCAAGCTTTAAGAAGCAAAACACTTAAAAATAAGCTTCAGATTTTACTATATAGATGTGTTTTAAAGTCTGGTTTTATTTTTGACACAAAAAGTAGTTAAACATAGGCTACATTCTTACCAAAATTACAACGTGCAATATGTAACCGATAGGCTATGCATTTTTGTCTAAATAATACAACTTGCCTAAAAGTCTGTTTGCATTTCTGGAGCTACAATACCGGTACCGGTACAGTAGATTGTATTTTTATGGTTCGCAGAGGTATGAACTAAAACATTGAATAACAATTTTAATCAGGTTTATTACGTACTGACTTACTTATCAGCTCAGGTTATTTTGATGTTTAGCTGGGGTACGCCTGCAACTGTTGATAACATAAAAAAATTCAAGCCCAACAGTGCCAATGTTGATTGTGAATACAAATTGTGGACATACGAACGTAACGTACAGGTATGTAGACTGAAGTTTAAGACTTAATTAAATCCATCTATTTGATCTAATTACAGTTCTCTATGAATAGCCCAAACATCAAACTAGTAAAGTATACATCCTGTTGAGTCCAGTCATCTAACCTACAATCCTTGAGCAGTTTTCCTTGAGCCATATTGGTTATGAGTCTTGAGGCACCTGAACCCTTAAAGAAAATAGTCCTTCCAAGATTTGCCCCAATAAAGAAATCGAGAACTTGTTGGAAGTTATGTGAGATGGTTTAAAACAGATCATCACAAATATATCTAACAAAACACCACTAAGTGGTAACACTTTCCCCGCCAAGTCAGCAATCCAAAAAAGATAATAAATCATTACTTTTTCCACCAAGAAAAACAATGTAATGTTTGTAAGTTTGGCAACTTGGCGGCAGACTTTTGCTTGTTTTTTTTTTCATTAAAGTTACGTTGGTGGATAATTTCACAAATCAACTTCTCTAACTAATTAGTCCAACTAAGTATAATAATTTCGAGGTAATCAGTAAATATAAAACCATCACTATTATGATTTTATGAAATGTGGCACAAATAAGGTCAAATTTTGTAAAAATAAGCTCTCACCTAGCAATGTACTATTGGGAGAGATACTTGCTCAATGAAACTAGTTTTATGGTACCTATTTTCTAAAGTGATCAAGCAAAAGTCTGCCGCCAAGTGGCCAAACTTACATACATTACATTGTTTTTCTTGGCGGAAAAAGTAATGATTTATTATCTTTTTTGGATTGCTGACTTGGCGGGGAAAGTGTTACCACTTAGTGGTTTTTTGTTAGATTTTATTTATTTTTGTAGAAAATTAACAGTTAAAATAAAAATCCTCTTTTCTCTGATATATAGACCACGGCACAACTAGCCTACATCTCATTTAATTTCAATAATATTGTTTGTGTAGAACTAAATTCTACATTTTTGGTCTTATCTGCTTTAAACCGATTAAAAGCTTTTTGACACACGTACCAAAATTACTATTTAACAAACCCCCTGGGCTTAAACTCACTTTAAAATTTCATCAATGGTCATCTTGAACAACATAAAATGCGTTGGTGTTCATAAGTGTTCTGATAATTAAACCCGTATATCTAAAGTCTAGTGTAAATTGAGCCCTTATTAGAGAAGTAAAAATGTAATCAAACAGATTGGGTTTGTTAGAAATAGCATAAGGCAAAACAAATATTGAAAAACTCATTTATCCTAAATTTACATATCACTTTCACAGAGTGATTTTCCCGATTGTTTTATTTGTTTTAGTGTATCAATACATAAAACAAACCTTAGTACTAGTACTAAGTTTCAAGTTCCTAGGTTTCATATGTTTTGATAAGTAGTATTAAACTGTTAAAAATGACGAGCTGCTGTACCAGTCTACCATCGGTACACTGCATTTTCAAATGGAAAGTATCGGGGAATATCACTGCTCTAAGTAATTTTATATAGTAAGTAGTTCAAATCATTCGGTATACCTGAAAAAATTCTTTATACAAAGTTTTAAAATAATTTTTCAGCTGTTCCTATGAATTTCTCTAACATCTATAATATTAAAACGAAACAGTGTTTTTTTATTTCACGATTCTGAATCAACCACTCGACGGATTGTCATGATTTTTGTGTTGAAAGAAAGATAATTTTGAGAACTAGGGAATGTCGAAGCCATAATTTTAGTTTAGGGTCCCAGTTATTTAGAAATTAAGTTTTAATTTTTGAAAAGTCTAGCAGCCGACGCTAAGATTCTAAACTAGCTTTTGGGTATTTACTCAGGGGAGGTACAGAAGAGGCTACGATGACAGCTGTGGACTTCTTATTAGCTGAAGGAACGCCATTACCGAAACAATACGGTCAGTGGCCATCGGCCTCGGTGGTCTAGTGGTCAGCGTGCCGGGCTGATATGCTGAAGGTCCCGGGTTCGAATCCCGCTGGTGGCACTAACTTTTTGTACAAGATTTTTTCATTATCAGCAAGTTTGGTTGGTTTGGTTCGGATATGACAGTTTAATTTTATTATAAGTCATTATAAAATTTTAATTTAGCAATTTCTAGTTTTATTTAATAAACAGAATTATTTTTTCATTACTAAACATTTGTTATATTATTTAATTATCAGCAAGTTTGGTTAGTTCGGTTAGGTTATGATAGTTTAATTTTATATTTAAAAAATTATAAAATTGAATTTGAGGCATTTATAATTTTATTTTATGAACAGAACAGTTTTTGCGATTAGTATTAGTAAACCTTCATTGCCAAAGTGCTCTCTACTACAGCGCTGTTCACGGAGGAATTTTGAACTAATGCCTCATTCGTACCTCCCCTAAGTCAGACCCTAGCTTTTGGTGTAATAAATTTGTTTAACATAACAGCTGTAAACATTCAGCGTTTGTAACACAAATTCAGCATTTGGATAAAATTAAAAGACATACTAAGGGTTGACTTATTTATACTATGTGTAATGCTAATCATTGATACGTTCAATCCTTTGATAAGAGGATGACAGATTATTTAAATATACATAGGTAAAATACTAGGATGTTCAAAGGATTTTTTAAATAAATCTTTGCAATCTTCGGTTTGTTTTAGTGCAACATAATTTTCTTTTAACTAACAGCTGGTTAAATATAAAAATGCTCTGTAGAACTATGAGGTTATTTTATTTACTCTGATTTGTCATTGATTTTTAGGAAATAAGTAAGATTAGTAGACCACCGAGAAAAGTAACACCATCGATGTATACAAGTCGAGGTGTGTGTACACGAGTCTTAAAAAAAGGATATGCAAATTATTATACTACTCAACTTTTCTAGGAAAGGGTAGGAAAATCCATTTTTTACACGTTTTAATTCATCTTGGTTTGTTTACAATCAATGTTTTTGAATGACTAAACTTTGTTTGGATTAGGCCCGGAAATATTGATGTCATAAAGAAGGAGATCAAGAATCCTCTGGAATTCAATATTAAATTACCACCACAACCCAGACGGGTTTTATCCAAAGATATACAGATATAAATGACATAGATTGAGCACAACGTCATCATTGACCTAGGATACTGCAATAAGACTAACCATCCTTTTATGAAATCTAAAAAGTTGTTTGGTGTGTGTTTAGTTGTGGTTACGTTTGGAGGCGCTGAATATTTTATAGTTTAAATAAATGAATATGGGGAATTACGGTTTTCATTGATTCAATGAGGGTGGTTTAATTATTAAGGATATTAGAACTGATAACGGAATGGATAATAAACATAGACAATTAATTACGCCACTAGCTTTACTAGCGTGTTTTACGTTTTAAATTCCTTCAACATGTGACCAGTTCAAATGAATATCAAATGAAACTATAACTCTTTGATCAAATGAATATTATTTTATTTTTGACTCAGCTGTTTACCAAAACAAACTATATGTTGTTGTTTTTACTTTTCTATGTTTACACTTATTTGTTTAGCAATTGATGAAGTGAAATTGATATAAAGGATATGTGTGGGCGATTCGTTTAATGATGTCAGGACACCAACGTTATAATTATGTGTACTGTGAATTTTATTGGATGTTTTCGTTTTATTTTAGGGAGTTTCTATTCAGACCTACCGGAAATAGTGTATAGTATGAGTAATTGTATTGTGTTGATATTGATTATGGAAGAGGCAGGTATGCGATGGAATTGGAAGGTAATATCGTTGACTAGGCCTATACACTTTCTCAATTGATAATTACTCTTTCTACTGTAGGCTGCTATAGAATTTGTCTTGATATGTGTAAGCTAGCTGTTCTGATTTATACACGGTTTTAACTGACTACTCCCGTACGTAGGACGGGCTAACACCTCGTTTAAATTAATTAAGATTTAATCGCAGCTGGTCCTTCTTTTGTTTTGATTTTAATCCCATGTTATTTAAATGGGCCAAAATCGTACTTTGAGGGCTTGCCAAGGGTTTATGGGTCAACGCACCGACTTGAGACCCTCAAAAGGCACATCTACACGTTAAGGGCTTTCAAACAACATAAAAAACATTAAAATTGAGCCAGTGGTTTGGGCTGTAGGTCCGTCAACATTCAAGGAGAAGGAGAAGGAGAACACGGAAAATTTGCGAATTTTCAAACTAGATTTTCTTGGCTTAAACACAACCGTTTTTTAAATTCTTTTTTTTTTATTTTGTTGATAATGAGTGCCCCTATCTAGTGGATGAATAATTATTTTAATAGCTTTTGTTTCTTCAGAGCTATAGACGAGTAAAAAAGCCACTTTGTCACGTCATGTATATATACACTGCAGCAGCTGTGTACCGCTGGGGGACTTGGCGGGGCGGAACGCTGCTGCGTTCCTTGTAATAGACAGTTATTCAAACCTCACAATAGTGGAACTTTACCGTTGTGTTTGGTATCAAGGAATTCTTTAATCACTTCACTTTGGCTATTGTCTATTCTAACCTCTCTATCCAAAAAAAGAGGAAGGATGATTTAGACAACCAAGATTTTTTCATCCTAATTTTGGGAATATAAAGTGAAGAGAATCAATTTATGTATGAGTTATATAACAGTTTTAATAAACATAAATGCTTAGTATGTAAATATTAAGTAATTTTAAACTACTGCAGTCCTTTTAGCGAATTTCCCTATAGGGAAGTAGCTATTACCGTAGGTGGCACGGTAAGACCTAGATCCGGGAGCGATTTACTTTTTCATTTTGATATATGTATATATATATATATACGTATGTGAACGCGATAACTTGAGTAATTTTTGTCCAATTTGATGAAATTTGGTTTAAAGGTGTAAAGCGGGATAAACTTGAATGAGTTAGCGAACCAGCATGATCGGACAATGGGAACGGGGCTTTACGGGGGGTTTTATGGGGTAAAAATTGGTTTTTCTCACTTTTGACCCTCAAAACACAAAATTTCCCAATTTCTCTTTAGACCTTTTTAGAGAGCTTAAAAAAACGAATAATTTAGTATATAAAAGTATTTTTGTTTGGTTATTAGTAATGGAGAAAATTAAAAAAACTGTAAATTTAAAATTTCCATGTTATTCATATGGAGAATATTGCCAAATGTTGTAGTTTGCTTGTTTATGGATATAATTTGATCAAACTTGGCAAATTTATTTATTTTCTACTAAGCTATCAATATTTTACTAAAAAACACACTTTATTAGTTTCCTTGTAGCAGCAAACCTAGGTACTCGTTAAACCTAATGTTATTAAAATATATTTAATTGAAAATCAATTCAGACAAATGGAAATTCGCTTCGTCGACAGGTTTGCTGCGGCGGTAGTATTTTTATTTGCAGATTTGCCATCAAGCATCGGCATTCGTTTATCTGACGTATATTTTGAGTTATGAACCAAACAACATCCTCCCTGTACAATTCTTATGGGAGTTAAATTTGGTTTTTCTTTTCTGAGTTTGTTTGGCTTTGCTACTTGACCGATTTTCATAGTTTTGGTCTTAAATTAAAGTATGCACACACAGATTTGCCATCAAACATCATCATACATTTATCTTCTGAATTACTCTACCAAAAAACACCAATTTGGTTTTATTAATTCTTACTTTAATCAATCTTCTTTACAAAAAAAATCACAAATCCACAATAATCATAATTAGCTTAGAGCTGAAAATCTGCAATCAATGATTCGTAACTCCATTTTTTAATTCAGTTTTTTTTGTCTTGGTTTTAAAATACTCTCAAGAAATAAAGGCTTCCATTTCAGATATTGATAGTTTGAATCAGTTAAGTTCATGAAACTGTATTACTCAATCAAATAAGATATTTCAACGCTGAGGAGCAGCACAGGGTCCTCTAGTTTATGTTAAAACCATTTTGTTTTTCGTAATCCACTACTGTTGTAGGTTGTGGATGTACCTTCAACAAAAATGACCTTATTCACTGAATTAGTCCAAGCAGCATTACCTCAGGGAGTTAATCTTAGCGTTCATCTTCACGAGCAAGAACATGAGGAAATACGCTATGTCCCCGACTATGAACTGAAGCAGCTGAAAAATCAGCTAGATGACATCTCACAAAGGAGAAATAAATAAAAATAAGTAGTTTTATACAACATTTTTGTGTGTAAATCTTAGACTGTGCTTTTCTTTTTTTGTAGTTCACACTATTAAAAATTAATTGTTACTATTAAGTTGTTCTTTTTTTCTTACCCTTATTAATATTTTAACAGTTACTGGTTAGTTGTTGGATTCTAGCCTTGTTCACACAATAAAATGTATGCCTCATATTAGTTTCTTCATATTTTTTAATGATTAAAACTGCAAGAAATGTTTAGCCATTTCCAATTTAAAATGTTTATATTTCATCTTTCCAATTTTTACATTTTTGTGGATAACTCAGTTTCTTACAATGTCAGTGAAAGGTGGATAGTGTCGACAGTGTTTATCAAGTCACTGTCAGTGTGTTGAATTGAATTGATAACGTTTCTATTAATAAGGTATACCCAGGCTGCTTTTATACTTTGTTGCTTCCCAGCACAGCCATGGCAGTGATGGGGGTGTAAGAACTACCTAATTTAGCATTTCTAACTCACAGATTGAGGTGTAGAGATTTTAGGGAATAAGAGATATCAGTTAGATCAGTAGTTTTGGATGGAGGGCAAATGCACGTTTAAAATAAGAAAGTCATTTACTTTTAAGCTGTATACAAAATGAAAATATTCCCATTAACACTGTGCTTGGCTTGATTGTAGAATCAAAATGCTACAGTATTGTATAAAAAAATATATAGATAGAACACATTTTACACACTACTTTGGTAGGATTAGAGAAAGTTTTAGTTTGTTTACATTTAACTCCTACCATACCACTGACTATTGGCATTGACATATTAATAGTCAAAGCTATTGGATACTGAAGTATTAATAGTCAAAGACAATACAGTACTTTAAAGGTATATTTTACTAATGAAAAACTGTTTAAAATTCAAGCAGCTTTCAATATTTGAATATTTTGTTAACATAATTATCATCACTATAAATTGATGAATATGATAATTTTTTTTATTTATTTCCAATAGGAACAATTGTTTTTAATAATTTACAAATCCAAACTTTAAGCAGAAAGGAAAAATAAGTATCAAGTTAAAGTACTTCATTTAAGCACAGTCTGTGACCTAAAATATTTTAGATATAATTTCTTGATGGGCCATTGCTATTTTTTTTTATGGATTTAGATTTCCATACAATTGCTAAATGTTTTTAAGGTGATACAACATGACCATGCAGTGACCTTTATCACTTATCAGGCAATACAATTATACATCTATCTCTTTTGGTCTACTTCTGACACAGAAAACATACTACTGACCCAGAACTACATAACCCAGAATGTTAACCGCATGGTAAACAGCGTTAAGTACTCGGAGAGAGCTTTGCCTGTCAATTCGTAGGCAGCGCCACCAGCGATGCAATGCTCCAGCGTAGCATTCTGGGTTATAGTAGTATGTTTTCTGTGCTTCTGATGACAAATCAATTCGTAGGCATGGTCATTTGAATCACCTTTAGTCAAACAAGATGGTAAAAAGTCCTTTATTCAACTTGTACATGCAATTACTCAAATCCAGCCTCATTCGTAACAACTAAAAATGTCAGGCCCATGACAGCTCGAACAAGACTTAGGAAAGATTGAAATTTTGTAGTTAAAAACATCAGTGCAAAAATAATACGTATAATTAATAACTTTCCACATTTAAAACACTTTTACCTCATCATCAGAATATACCAAAAACATAATACCATACTGTAATTGAAAAGGTGAAAGACTTAACCATAACTATATTGTTGAAACTAATCGAGGATGATTAAGGTGTTGTACATTCACGGATTTGACGTGTATTGGTGTAGTCGTCAATTTTCCAGTGCTGCAACGCTCACCATTGTCGTAGAAAAATACAGGTTGTCTATATAAATTCAATATAGGTTCTTTGGAAAAAGCAGAGTGGGAACGCCGTTCCCGCTCCAATAGCTCCACTACATCACTGTTGACGTGGATACGGACGACGGCAACGTCGGGGAACTTGGTGAGGTCTCAGACTTGTCCCCAGTGTGATGTGTAGACCTATGTTTGGCTTTAACCTCCTGACAGGGTGAACAGGTGTTTTTACGATGATAGTCGTAGGCTGCATTCAGAAACACAAGTTGGAGGGACACTAAAACAAATAATAATACTGTATAATATGAAAATGTTATACTGTAGATTATTGATACAACATAAGGTAATTATATTTTAAAGCTATTTCTAGATACTGTATAGCTATAGTAACTCTAGATATCTACATAGAAACCGTGGGAAATGAAGACCTTACATTTAATTGATCAAATCACATTAGTTTTTCTCTTATCAATAAGTGTGGGTTCCAAATCATTATTCATTTACGTTACGGTACAGCAATGACAAGTATCGTGAAGTTTTCTGTACTATAATATGAGCAAGTTTGTACGCACAATTATTTCATAAACGGCTCAAGCGATTTCCTCTAATTTTTTAGAAATATCTTAAACAAAAGACAATATTTATGCTAGGCTCTGTCGTGGAAATTTTTTTTTCATAAAAAACTTTAAATGAAATTTTTAACATAGGTCTTATGGATTGCCAAGTAGCCATGATAGGCCTAGTTTTACAAAAATTGAAATACAGGAATTTAACAAACCATCTATATAACTACACCAGTATCTACATGTACACCAGCTAATAACTAAATACGGTACAAAAGAAAAGGCAATTCAAATGAATACCATTTAGCACATAATACACTTAATGAGTATGTGTATTGATGTGAAATATGATTCTATAAATACATAGAGTATTTCACAGGAAAACATTTTACACTAATATTAAACTAAGTGGGCCTTGATGAAAAGCCATGGACATTATAGTTTTTAACGACGCACCGTCGCAGGCGGTTTGCGACATGATAGGCTTTGCGGCGTTCCATGATTCCATTTCTGCGTCATTCCACGATCCCAGTGACTTAACGCATGGCAACAATGCTTGTCAATGGATAAAAACAAAGTCTGTTTGAAACCATACATATGAATATTTTGTTTTTTCCACCCTAAAAACAAATTAAACACCACAAGCAACTCTCAGTCCCCTGATACCCATTATTTAGGCACCAAAACTTAATACTTAACTTGTGACCTAAAGTCTCCTAATTTATTAAAACTACTTGTTAAACAACTTACAGAAAATTAGATTGTAGAACGCATAGTACGGAATATGTTTCCACAAAGAAATGCTCAAAAGTTCATGGATGAGTTCTACAAACAACGAATACTTCAACACTAAGAATAGTGGTGATCCCGCATCCTTCTAAAACAATATTCATATATGACCTTGTACATACAGTGCTAACATAAGTTGTTCTTTAGTAACTGAAATTGTCTGGCAAGATAATTGTAGATCTGATATTAAAATGTTTACTTTTTGTGTTTCTTGGATTTTTTAGTAAATGAAAAAATACATTTTACTTTCTAAGCAGATACGCATAGGTAGAGAAAATATCAGCATCATCTGAACAATACCAAAAGACAAACAGTTATTATAAAACTAAATTTAAAAAATACAGATAATATACTTGATCCTATGTTTGGCCCAAATGAATTACATGACCTAAACCATTGACTATATAACACTATGTGTATTTTTTTTTCCTAGGACCCTATTCACGAGCCCGGAATTGTTTTTCACATTAATTCAGGCTAACTTATACCTAGGGGTTACGGCATTATTACTTAGATAAAATTCAATGGTGATTCGGCGGGATTTGAACCCGGGACTCCAGGAACCTGAGTCCCGTGCTCTAACCACTAGACCAGCTCGCTCCCCACTATGTGTTATATAGTCAATGCCTAAACTCTACTTTACAAAAAGTTATTCTTATAAGTGAACATGTTTTAGAATGTTTTATCATAATAGAGACCTAGTTATCCATTGAACATCAACAAGACTTTAATTGTCATATATTTTTAAAATGTCATTGATTCGAAACATCATTGAATACAACCCTCTAATTAAGGCCCTTGACCTCAGGAGAGGGATTATTGAAAAAGATTATCTACAAAATAAGCATTAAGTCAACAGCTCAAAATTTGTAACTGTTGTTACAGATGGTTTTGGCATCTCAATGCCATCATCATGCCAACTTATGATGAAATGGCTTTAACGACAGTTATGTCTTTGAGCTGATTGACAAAAGTATATAGCTTACTTTTTAGTTATACGTTAAAGCTCAGGGGCTACATGGATTTTAATAAAAGAAGAATATATTTCTAGGAATTTCTTATCAGGACCTTTCATTGTAGTATGTATAATAGATAGATGAGCTTAAATGGTTTCCTCAAAATAGTTTGTGTTCCTTTGAACATTAAATAGATGACGTACCATGTAGTTAACCAGCAATAGGAAGAACCCAAACAAGAAGTAACAGATGCTGACGAAGGTCAAATAAATGCAGAGAGAAAATGACTCTGGAAAACAAATTTTATGCAGTTATGAGAGACATTTATTGGCACAACTTTCAAATATTGACACTAAATTAATGTGATATTGACATTTTTGCTCACTATCATCACACATTAACAAGTTCAATGCAATTATTCTGTTATGTAAAGGAAATCAGAATATTCATTAAAAAGCAGGCACAAAAAATACTACCATAAAAGTAGGCTTTGATGGTTTCATTTCCTTTTTCGTTGATTTCCATTTCATGGATACCAATCAGACTTGAACCCGTAGATAAGACTGCTATTCCTACTACAATCGCACGTATCTGAAAAAATGTTGGTACAAGCATACTTAATTATTTGCTTATATCCATTTCATGGTAACAAAGCAAAATTTTTGAAATTTATCCAACAAAATCATCAAATAAATTTAATTATAAAATAAAATTAAATTTTTAAGTAATTTAAGAAGGCAGAAAAGGATGGTTTACAGGTTACTCATCATTTAACATTGAACCATTGACTGATTGAACTTAAAACATTTTTTAGTTTCCTTAAAATAATGATTTTCCAAGTATATTAGAATTAACAATCAAGTATACTGAGGTTTCATCTTGAGAAGATCAATACACACTTACTATAAAATGACCCTTTTTTTTTTGTTAACGAGGTCTATTGTAAC